AAGCACTTCCAGCCTGTGGAGTGCCTTGAAATCCTTGAATGTTCTCCTGCTCGCTTTTGTTGACCCTGGTGCATAGCAGGAATTCGCACTTTGAGCTGGAGTAATTGTGGGTCCTGCAGCTTCAGAAGATTGTCCTCAAGACATGCTCGTACCCGCTCCTCCCACCACCAAGATGCAAAGACTCTGAACTGTTGTCTGAAAGCACGGAGAGAGAGCCTCTTCAGCGAGCTGAAGCGACCTACAGGGCAGCGGCGCATCCTGTCCATTTACCCATCTACCATCCCAACTCACCTAATATCTCGCCTCATCTCAGGCCATCACTCTTAGGTTGGAGGCCATTGCTATTAGGTCACCTCACCTCACCTCATGCCCTCACCCTAGGCACCCCTCCCGGGGCCGCGCTTGCCCTCCGAGGCGCCAAGAGCTCTTCGCCTCGGTGGCCGCGCGCCTGGACGGCCGACGCTTGCGCGAGCTGCTGCCGGAGCGGCCAGAGGCGACCGGCCACGGGGTGGCCAGCAGCCCATGCGACCGGGTGAAGCTTCACGAAAGCTTCATGCGAATTCAGGTTGAAGAGGATGAGACGGATGATGTGATGAGACGGACTAGGCAATTTTTGTTTCGTTCGGTGTAGACCACCACTGCATTTCAGAGAGGAGCCTTTAGTTCTTTTGAGTCTGAAACGCGCCATCCCTCCACGCACACGTCCTTTGAAGATAGAGGTTTTCGTGCGATTCATGTAGATTAATCAACCACCCTCGTTTGAGAAATCTTTTTCATACGGGGGCTTATTAATCAATAATCTACATTCGTCCACTTGTAGCCACTTTGCAATTTTGTAATCAGGCATGGATTGGACAGACCTTTCTCCACCCGGAAGTGTTTTCTTGTCGCCAGTGGATGGATTGGATGAACATCTCCAACAAGATGCAAGCAATGAATCTTGGCAGAACATGGCCTTGTTTGTTGTTATGCCACTATAATTTGCACCCAGGGTTAGATGCTAATTTACTGTAGGATGAAAATTATATGTACTCTCGTTCCATAAGCTGCCCTACAAAGTCACTCCACAAGCCGCGGTGCCGTTGTCTTAAAGGAACCCGGAGAGACAGCTGAGCCATTGGTAGCCACCTACAGATGACCGCCGGGCCGAGGAGCAACGAGGAGGATGTGCCGTGCATTAGTGCCCTGGAGCATCCTTCAGCCTTTGGATGGTTTGGTTGTGGGATGACCCTGACCGAACTTCAGTTTCAGGCCGTGGATTGTCTTGAAAGACAACACAGCTTCATCAGTGTCGCTACCAGGGTGCCCCATGGTGCTCCATCAGTTTTGCTTGAATTGCAGCAATTCCGTGTGATTCTTGTGAGTACCACTCTCACTTCAGCAATATCAAAGCTGGTTTTTGCCATCTGGGCTGGCCCAGAGACTAGAGGTGGGCTTTGATCCAAGTTCCTATCCAATCCCCAACACAACATGGGTCAAGATGTGACTTTGGAGGGGCCCACCTGCCCTAGCCTGCCCTAGTGGGCCCCGAGGTGCAGGTGTGCGGCCCACCGGTTCGTCCACCAAGGCCCTGCCAATTGTTTGATTCAGTACCTTCATCATGTGGTGCACAAGTCCCACGCGCCAACCACTGAAGTGGAGGTTCGGTTTGTCAGCTTGGCTCCCGGAAGAGAAGCTCCAGTTTGGAGGGTGAACATTGAAGAAAAGATGAAGAAACAAGACTCCTTGCTAGAAGGCAACAAGTCACAACGATACTATCACCAGAAAGGGGTCAGTGTTTCATAGATGTTACATCCTTTACATGCCATGCTTTAGTTGACGGTGTGCATGGAGGCTTTTTTCAGGAGCGGCATGTTCAATTTGTACGGCAGCCTGCCCTTGTCGACCAGGTCCCTTGATCTAAAGCTTTTTGCGCCTAAGCGCTTCGCAGGAGGAAGCGATGAAGCGAGCTCGAGCACAGCATGGGGGAAGCCTTTACCTCAATCAGCGGCTTGACCTCTGGGTCAGTTTTTGATGACTGATTAGCCAGGAAAAGATTGGATTGCTCTCCAAGCGGGTCAAATGAGCAGATAGCCTGGCTTACTAAAACCACTTTAAAGCATGACTTTGTGAGCCAAGAATATAGAAACTCACAGGCCTCAGAATCATGTTCAAGAGAAAGGTTCACACATACAGGCTCGAACAATGTTCAACCCGCCCCATCGCGTGGAAAGCAAGGATCGCCGACTGCACTGGGAAGCCGTTGGAAGGCTCCTGGCGTCTCTCGGTGGCCTGAGTATATGGCACATTATGGCACTGGCACCCACTCCAACCATTTCCATTGAATATCATGAAGTAGCAGAGGATTACAATTGCGGTTTGGCATACTTTGACCACCAACCTGCCGGTACAGGAGGTGAACAAATCGGGTAGCTGTTGCAATCTACTCCGGTTCCGTCACGAAAGAGGTGCCTTGCCTTCAGATAAGTTAATGAGGGTTCTCAGAATTGTGAAGTGGATTCCTCCCAATGGACCGCTCAGAGGCCGAGTGGTGCATATTTCCCAAGTGAAGGTGACTTTTGGCGGATTCATACAACTACTCGTACTTTGTCGTTGATTTTGTGGTCACGAAGGCTGTAATCTTGGAATTAGCTTTCATCCCTGAACTTTGCAGCCTTTGCTTGATAGGTTTGTAACGGCTTGTCCTTCAGGAAGTTTTCTGGAGACACATGCTGAATGCCGATGAAGCTTAGAATCTCAGCTGGGGTGTTTCACGATGTTGCGTGCCGTTGAGGTTGCTTTGCCAGCCATATGCTCTCAGAGGCGATTGCTTTCGTTGCGGTTGACTTGAGGGTCCACCTATGTATGATGCGCTGCACAACGCATGTAGGGAGCACTCGTTGGTTATATAAGTTAGATCTTACTATACAGTATACGCGTTTGAAAGTCCTAGGAGGAGTATGCAGTCAATCTGTATCTACCATGGTTGGAAGTCAATTTGGCTAACCCGGTCAACTGCCACCGACACCAAACCTGCAATCCAAGGGTTTTGTTCCACTAGATCATGGCGATCAGAGGCCGTGCACTTGATTAGTGGGCCCAAACCCAAGTACAGAAACTCTTGTTGGCAACTGAGATTGAAACACCCTCGGAAAACAAGCTCTATATAGCGTATATAGTGTATGACGTGTATGATGGTAGGCTCATTATTTACAACATTGTAGAGCCACTACTATAGACCACTGGTATAAAGGCTTTCCCAATGTTCACCACTTTGGAAGTTTGAGCATTTTTGTGCGGACCCTTTTTGCGATGCATTGTGCCCTCCACAGAGGCCGAGGCTAGCGATTTGCCCTGGTCGCCGAAGGAGCTGGAGCGGTTACGGGAGGTGCGGGTTCCACAACGAGGAGGAATGAAATAATATAGATAATTCTTGCGTATTCTTGCAATATAAGGCATCATCGGTGTTGATACTTGGACGTCGGATCTTCATGAACGATGCTGGTTGACTCAACGTTTGCTAGAATTCGAGGACAAAGGTGAAGTTATAGATGATGGGCAGCCGGACGTCGCCCTTACATTGACCATTGCCATAGGCCCATAGGCTTTGCAATTGGTGTATCGGGGGTCAGAACTTCAGGACCATTGCTGGTGAATCCATCGCTGGGGGAGGAAACTTTTGCTCAGACCGTGGGTGCTAGTGGCGATTTGACCTAGAATCTAGATGATTTGTGACTAGAGTCAGAGGCAATGACGATTAGTGATTAGTGAGGTGTGATGTCTTGACGTTTTGGTCAGCCGATACGAAGTTTGTCAATCCCATTGCCGGCCAAAGGCCAAGTATCACCAGCACCAACTCTAGAAAGTTCTGGAAAACAATGATGGAAGGTGCTGCTTAGACTAGCTACAGTATATGGTGCAATTGATCAATTTGGCAAACCCTTGATAGAGTCTGCAGACCTCCTCCCACAAACCCAACCCAGTCGATTCATGTATATAGATTCACTAGATAGTGACACTGAAGCGGTTGCACTCGGTGCCAGGCATGCGAGGAGTGTGACGTGGGCGACTGGATGATGGTGGCCAGTCGCTTAGGCAATACCTGCCCTGAGGAGTGCGAAGCTCAATGGAGGCGGCCAAGTCTTGTGGGTGGGTGGTTCAGTTGCAGGCCTCGCTCCATGGACAGGTGTATCCTTCATCTCCCGCCCCCAAGGCTGCTTTGATCAGCCACCCTGGAGAAAAATGTGAGTTAATGAGGACGGACATGAAATATGAATATGAAGAAGATCCCTGCCATCCTTGAGCGGCAGGCGCCTACAAACAGCGGACGGCGAAGTGCTGTGGCTGCAAGTCAGGGGTGTGTAGCGGGGTTGTCTCGGAGAAAGGTTCTCTCCCATTTCAATCGTTGATGTCCCCATGACTAAGATTTGGACTCGCTGAGGCGCCAACTACCACCAGGGCCGACAATGTGGGTGGCGCCGAAGAAAAGGGGGGCAGCTGTGGGCTTTTGCAAAGCGCGGGTTCAGAAGATGTGAAGCGAGTTTGCAACACAGACCTGGTCTGGTACCCTTCATGAATTGAAACTCTTCTAACTTCTCTTACAGTGATATTTTGGAACATTTGGTTATGGTTCACTTGCTGCGTCATGACTTGGATTGCTCAGAATTCTCACAGATGAAGGGCTGGTCGTCGAGTGAGAACAGAGTTGTTTTGGACGCATGGAGAATCATTGTGGCTTTCCTTCAGACAAATCACAGAAGAGCTACCGAAGTTTGAGCAACTTTGAGGCTTTGAGCAATCTCAAAGGCTCATAGCCATAGCTGTACTTTAGCTTAACTTAGCCCTCCTGTTCTGGTTATTTGTACCGGTGTGATGTGCAATGCACATCAATGCGCAATCCTGACAAGAACCAGCAAGTGATCAAAACTGAATTGCTATGGCTCACTCACTGTTAGTGAAACTGCGATGTTGTTGATGCATGGGCAGCTTTTCAGCAAGTCTTGCCGTCACTCCAGCGCCAGGAACGTGGTTGGCAGGCGGCACGACAGCTGGGTGTGACGCTTGGAGGTCGCGCTGGCTTGGGGTTCAGCAGACAGGAAGATGTCACAAGACGCCACATCACAGACAATTTCGAGTTTCGTTAGTTCTTGAGTTGTTAGTTCTACGACGTTTTGACTGGAGGATGTGTGATGACTTTTTTGCTTTGCAGATGTAGCCAACTCTGGATTTGCGTTCGAGGAGCACAGTCTCAGTGTTGGGCACAGATTGTTTTTTGAGAAGTTGTGCCTCCCATTCTCTACAAATGTGCTTTGGAGGCAGGGGAGATTTTCACACCTTTCAGTCTCACACCCGATCAACGCTGGACGGGGCATGGACACTGAGGTTTGATGGAGGAGTGCAGCGAAGAGCAAAAAAATGTCAGCGTATGGGTAAAATCATGTAAAATGACGATTTGTCGTTGAACGATCAATCTATCAGGTATTGGATCCTAGCTTCAGCTACCAAAAGACTGCGGATGGTGATCAGTGTGTTTCAATGTTGCCGGGCAAATCCTGCCGCACGGATCCAGACGATGGCGGGCCACATTCTTCAGTCGCTTAAGCCAAAAGCGAGCCCCATAGATTGTATGATATTGTATACGCAATACGGTATATATTGGTATATATTTACTTGGGTGATGTTGGGTGCATTTGCATGGGCAACTCCATGGTTCACAAGCAATATTCGAGTGAACTCCAGCAGTCGAAGGTAGAGGACCACCACAGCAATACTTTGAGACAGATTCTGAACAGATTGAGTTGTATTGCTCAATACAGATAACCGACAGATAATAGAAATACTTTGCCGGAACCATAACAGATTGAGACCTTCTTTCTTATTCTTTGCAGAGTTCTGCACATTGATGGTCAAGCAAAACGGGGGTCGCCTAAATCAGTGTGACCTTGGAGGCCGCGTGTTTGGGGGTCGCTCCTGCGTGTTCGGTGCCCAACTCGTTGCATGAGACCCAGCAACTTGGAGGACCGAACCCGATTCTGCAACGATGCTGGGCTCAACAGCATTAGCTTTGCAGTGTCCACTGGGCCTGGCAATAACCAGGACAGCACGGCTAGGATGGGAGCATGGAACGATTTGTCCAGTCCTTGCATTGGTTCCTAAGTTAAGCCCTTTCCCTGCACAGGGATCATGCACCCTACCTTAGGAAGTTAAATGAGAGGTGGGGTGTTCTGCGGTTTTGCTGTTATATGTTTGGGTGTACTACTGTGAGACCCGACAAACCCTGACCGATTCCACATGGTCCACAACAGGAGGACGGTTGCAGGTGCGGAGTTGCTCCCAACATAGAGGCCCTGGAAGTTCTGATCGGAGGAAGTCCAGTGCGTTGCAAAACCAACCCACCTGGCAAATAGGTGTATTTCATGTGATTTCATGTTGTTACATGCTAGCCAGTTGCAATCATTGAGGCCGATTTCTGTACTGACAGGTTGGGCCTCATGAACACGTTTGTGGGAGTTTGGTGTGTCAAGAGTCTATTGGATTCTTTTAGGCAAATCTAAGATTAGATAATAGGCCAAAATTGAGCCCACCAATATTGTGTTCAACTCAACTCCATCATGTCAAGGTCAAAAAGCGCAATCCCCAACCATTTGTTTGCTCCCTGGTGTGTTTATGTGTGTTTTTGTTGAAATAAGTTAAGTGTTTAAAAAAAACAAAAATAAACACTTTTGCTGTAAGTTTTTTGTATAACTGTACAACCGCCCCGTAGTCCTTCACATCAAACATTCTCAGCCAGATGCTGCCTACTGCTGCGCACAGGAGGCTCCAAAGGGGATGTCGAGGCAGGTTGAGAAGTCTTTGGGCAGGCATTGAGTATGACAATCCCTTTGCGCCTTTGCCCCTGTTTACTTTCCAGGTGGCTCTACCTTTTTTTGACCAACTTCATTAACCAAGTGGCTCATGACAATGAGCTGAGGAGAGTCATGATGACCCATGGGCCAGGGTGTTTTGGGACCTGGTCGCCATGGCATTGGTATTAGTGGAAAGGCCCGGCACGGATAGTGATATTGTCAATATCCACCGTTCTGAGAAGTTCTGACCACTTTTTTTCGGATCGCTGGCGGTGTTTCAGGTCCTTTTCGCCACGGCCATCCTCATCCTCAGCTGTTTGGGCTCCGCACCAATGTTGCCATGTACATTGCTGGGACGCGAGAACTGCTGCAGCGAGAAGAAGACCAGCTTCCCGGAGCCACTGCAGGAGGAGGAGAGCGGCAATGGATAAAGGCTTACACATAATGTAGACTGCTGATTTATCAACCTCTTTGTGTTGGTTTGTTTTACTTTGTCAACAGTCTCCTTCAGGGTGGTGGGGTACGTGTTTGGCTGGGTTTGCTGGGTTTTGTTTGGAGTTTGCGGCACGCCCTTTGTTTGGGGGTACCTTGAGGCGCCAAGTCTATTTTGCAGTTGGCTGTTGGCATGTGTTCATGTCTCATGGTGCTGTTCCTGCATTTCACGTGTAAAACTGTAAAACATGTAAGCTACGTGTAGTATTTTGTAGTGCTGTTCTGCATTGATCAGGTGATAGTTCCTATAGTTCCTATAGATGTTCTTATATGGCAACTTTCAATCTGTGCTTTATTCTGGTGAAACACTCCTTGGACAACGTAATAGCTACATATAGCTACTTTCCCTTTTTCTACACCTTACACACTCCTTTTGGTGAAAAGTTTTGCATTCAGATCAATAGTCTTCCCAGCGACCATCCTATAGGCTATCGTGGCAAAGGGTGCCACAGCCAATGACACCACCCGACCTCCACGCCAGGAGGACACACAAGAGGCTGAAGTTCTGAAGGGGACGGTTTGATGCCTAGCAATTGTATTTGTTTGATCATGCTGGAATCCAAAGACCATCCGGAGCATGAAGTCAGAAAAAGAGATGCCAGGAGTGATTTTACTCTGTCTCCAACAGCCACAGCAGTGGAAGACTGCAGGTTGACGAAGAAAACCACGACATAAACCGAAGAGCCATCGGAGCGAACCCATGTTGGAAGCGGATAGCGAAGCTGCTGTTCCGTGGGGCGCCATTGAGTTCCGTGGGGCGGTCCTTGGAAACATCGTGGAAGTGGAAAATGGTCTTTTGGATGACCTTTGACCTCTACAAACCAGTGGTTTTCCACTTCCATCTGCTGAAAGTCAGACCCTGCCAGGGAGGATATAAGAGGGTTTGGAATGTTCTCATATATGGGTTCAGGATGGCCTGGGCCATGGGTGGTTTCTTCAGTATGCAGCCTCAGAATCTGTTGCTTCATCATGTACGTCCAAACGCTGCAGGTTCTGTATCCCGGCAGCCCGCGCTCAGCCCGGGTGTGGCCCAGGCAGTTCCTAGGAACGGTGACGAGTTCACATCCTAACTCCTCTCCGCAGATCTCAATGGACCGCCCCACGGAACTCAATGGACCGCAGTGTACATTCTCTGTTGGGGTTTGCCTCAACATGAAATCACTGTAGGACATATACAGTCACATCAATCGTTTGAGGACATCCGTATAGGTAGCCTTATTTTGTGCATGCATGTATGTGTTGTCTCCGCGGCATGTCGCGTTGCCTCCGTGCTTTTCGTCCGGTCCCTCATCCATTGGTCACCAGTCTTGGAGAGAGTCGTTTCAGGTCGTCTACATGACTTGCATTCCTCGGTGCTGTCGCAGGTCCTCCGGCAGAGCGACCTTCACCTTCAGGTCGACGGGGGTTCTGCCGCCGGTGCGCCCGGACGACGGACCAGCAGCTGCTTCGTGGGCGCACTGAACCCGCGAGAGGAGGAGGATATTGACTTGAGGTCTAAAGACCCTTGGATTGGAGGATATGCAGATTTGCAGGGGTTGGCTCATCACGCATGTTTGTACGAACATGTATATAATCACACACTCAAGATGATGCGTACTGAGACGATCGCGGTTTGCCACACGCCAACCTAAGTGAAAAACCTAATATAATCCCCACCCCCTTAACCATTGATTTGAGGGGGGGGGGCTGAAAAATGTAACTTCCAATTCCCTCCCCCTCCCCCCCCCCTGAAAAATGTAACTTACCCCTCCCCAGGCCCGGCATTGAGGTACATGGGGGGGGGGAGGGGGTCTAAAAATGTAACAACCTGCCTGCGAGGGATGTAGTTACATTATCTGGACCCCCCCCTGAGGGGGGAGGGGTGTGTGTGTGTGTGTGTGAAAAATGTAACTTGGAGTGTGCGAGGTTGAAAGATACATTTAATAAGCCCCCCGTACTCTTCCAGCAGCCTCACTGAGTCTTGCGTAGTATTACCTTGGACCATCCTAGACCTGAAAAAATGTAACTTACATTTTTTACATATTTAGTTACATTTTCCCTGGAATAAATGTAACTTGCATAAGTTACATGTTTCATAAAAAGCCTAACAAATGTAAGTTACATTTTTCCAGGTATATGTAAAGGGCTAAATGTAAGTTACATTTTTTTGAGGTCCCCCCCTGCTAAGGGATAGGGATCTAATATATATAATGTCCAGATCAAATACATGGAGCGGAGTTCAACCATGACGAACGCTGAAGATCCAACATTGCAACACGACAGGCGAGCTCATTAGCACCTTACTGCAGAACCGAAGACAAAAGCAAGATCTTGTTCTAGTGACAAGCAGGGCCAGTAAGAAGTGGAGCCATCGCAAAGCAGGTACGTCATCAGGCGGCCCTGATGATATCCTAGGATCGTATGAGGAGCTTCGTTGGATGGAACCTCATACGTCATCATACGTCCTCTCCATCCCTCGGCTAAAAGAAAAATACATTAGTGAAGGACTCCCTGTGACTCCAAGGGTTTCACACACACACACACGTTGTGTGACTCAGGCTCAGTGCAAGCGATTGATTTTGAATGAACAAGGCGAAGGCCCCGAGAAGAGGTTCGTGTTTGTTTAATATTCCGTTTCGACATGTTTCGACCCAGCAGACCCCAATCTTGTGCTCAGTGGTCACCGGACAAGGGGGGGCCGGTTGAAAGGTCCTGCAGGTTGTGGGGTGGTCTGAAGGTTTGTGCCAAGCGCCAGATCATCAGGTTGTGGGTCAGGTTTCAAGGGAAAATATCCCTCCCTAAGCTCATAGGAGATGATTGATTGTAGCGCCCGAGATTCGCTTGTTGACTCGGATAGCAAATTGCCCAACATGTCAGATCCACATTTGTTCAGTTCTTCCAAGTTCTTCCAGACATTTTGATACTCTCTACTATCCATCTCTATTCCCCATCACCTCCCTGCATCCACCCTTCCCTCCACCGCTGATGTCCTTCACCTTTTGGTCAGGAGAACACCCAGACCCTTTGGGCCATCAACTGGGCGTCCTGGTGAATGCGCGCCAGTGGCCTGCACGGCTCTCCTGGTACTTCATCGACTATATGTGACAGGGCTCAAGGAGCAAGGAGATGATTTGCCGGGGAGCTTTCTGGGAGAAGGCTCAAGATGTTCAAGGTTCATTGTAGGTGGAGTTGTTTTTGGAGAAGTGTGAGTGCCTGGTATGGGGTTTGGATGGATTTGGATGGTTCCAATTTGGTCAGCAGTTGGCTACTGAAGCCTGTTAGAAAGCAGCATAAAGTCAATATTAATATTGTCATTCATCTTGGCGAAGCCCACAGAGTTTGTTCCTCCCCTTTTTTCTTTGTTGTTTGTTTCTTCTCCTCTATTTTTCCCCAAATAGCGAAGCTATGGGGTTCTTACTTCAAATAACAATGAGTTACCCGTGCGCGCTTTCAAGACAGGTTGCTGGTGCTGGGTGCCGGTGCTGGTGCTGGTGCTGTGAGCTGGCTGTGTACGTGGTGGAGACAGGTTGCTGGTGCCGGTGCTGGGTGCCGGGTGCCGGGTGCCGGTGCTGGTGCTCTGAGCTGGCTGTGGGTGCTGGTGCTGGTGCTGTGAGCTGGCTGTGCACGTGGTGGAGACAGGTTGCTGGTGCTGGGTGCCGGGCGTCGGTGCGGGTGCTGTGAGCTGGCTGTGCACGTGGTGGAGGCGTGCTGGGTGCTGGGTGCCGGTGCTGGCGCTGGTGCTGTGAGCTGGCTGTGCGTGAGGTGGAGACAGGTTGCTGGTGTTGGTGCCGCGTGCCGGCGCTGGTGCTGGTGGTGCTCGTTGTGTGCGTGGTGCAGATTGGGTGCTGGTGCCGGGTGCTGGCGCTGGCTGTGCGCGTAATGGAGACACGCCACGCTGTATTGCATGTAAAGATTGGAGTTGCTGCCAATGCAGGGTGCAGCCCAGATGTTTTTTTGCATGCTTTTGCTATCTGAGGTCTATGCTGGAATACTTTTTTGGTTGAGTCGGGTTGAGTTCTTCTAGGTTTGCAAACCCTTGGCCTTGGCGTCGCATAGGTAGCCCCCAGTTGATCGGCACCGTATCAGGAAAATATGCATAGACGAATGTATATATATATATAGTTATATATATAGCCGACGGCTTGCCAGGATAGAAACCAGGAGAATGATAGCCAATCCATTGATAGAATTTTGTAGCAATCCATGCCCTTTGCTGTCACACAGTGCCATGAAATAAACACTATAACTTAATTACTGTATCTCACCAAGCGCCAACCGCCAGCTGCCATGCGCTGTTTGAGGTCGGTCTACCAATTCGCCCGCAGCGACCGCGAACAGCAGTGCTTCGACCAGGTCATGCGGCAGATGCACGTGCGACTCGGCAACGCGGATCCCCATTCCGACCCAGCCGAGGGGTCTCAAAGCATCCCAGGCATCACGCATGTTTAGCTCCATCCTTGATGCGCCATAGTGCGCCCATGAGTTTCAAGCGAAGTTCGTTTGGTGTGTTGGGTGAGCGATTTGAACTACTTTTGGTGTTCACCTTGTGTGTGACCATTGGCAAACCATGGGAGCGATGGCACCCTTCATCGCACCGCAACTCGTTTGAGTCGTTGCGTCGCGGTCACCAAGGCAACGCGTTTCGGTTCAGAACGGGGCCGGGCCGGAGCCGAGCCAAGGCTTTACTCCCACGATTTCACTTACACCTACCAGATCCTCGGCCGGTCGATGGGGTAGGGAGAATGGTGAGATGGGGTCTTCGGAGAAGGTGTTTCTTTATTTGGGGGGGGGCATGCTTAAAGGAAGAGTATGAACATGAACCTGGCGAAAAATGGCATGGTCTACCGCTGGACACTGGAACCTCCTCCCTTCCATACTACTGCCAAAACTCATGAGTCGAGCGTTTTGTTGGACTGTAAGAGACGTAAGGACTGTACAAAGTTTGCATTTCTGCACAAAGGGCGGATGGTATTCTGCAGTATTAAACTCCGTGTAGTTTCATCATGTTTCATCATTTGTCATAGCGGGGGAACGAGGATCTCACTTTGGGCCACATGCATATCGCAGGGCCAAACGCGTCGAACCCCAAATCAATTCCCACTTGTCATATCTTGTCATCACTTGTCCAAGAGTCGATCATTGTTGAACATGGTAGAATACGTTCATCAAGCGGCGGGGCGAAAGTATATAAATGCAATCTGATGCAATGTAGTTTCCCTCACAGGGTCCCGGCGGGTCCCGGTCCTTAGCTGTTCTGTTGGCAACTCTCATCAGAAACCTGGAACTGACTGCTCGCCCCAGACCTGCTGCCTGTCAAGGACTAAGAAGAGTATGAGTTCTTTGTTGTTGGGCTCCAAGGATTGCAGGCTTGACGCCTCAGCACTTGCTGACGGAGGGCGCAGATGTGGAGGCGATGGAGAGTGGAGGGTGGACGCTTTTGTATTGGCACTGTGTGGAGGGTGGAGGGTTTTCAACATGATTCAACACTACTTGTATTTGCTTCACAGTTTCATCCCCCTCAGCTACTCAAGCCTGCGGGCTCCGCATGGCTCCGCCAACTGCTTCCATATGGAAGGATGGATTTCCTTTTCGACTCACAGTTGTTGATGCAAAAGGCAAATTCATGCAAATTCACATTCCAACAATCCCGAAACTAATGTTCAATGTGTATATACAGGATTTGGGGATGTGGACTGGAAGCACTAAGCACAGCTATTTTGTGAAATTGTCATGAATTGTCACTCCCTTCCTTGTTCTATGTCACCTAAACTACTCCCATCCAAATGCCAGCTCCACAGCCGGACTCCTGCTGCGCAGACCACGCATCATTTGCTCCCTGGCACCCGCTAGCGCCCTCAGGTGCCGGTCTTCTATTGGCCGGAGCACCCCGAGGGCCAGGGACGTTTGCAGGGGGTGCCCCTGAAGCGGCTGATTCTGAACATGAACCGAACGCCTTACGAGCTCCGGGGCTGGTGCCAGGCGGGATGGCAGATTGCAGATGGCGCGGGGAGAAAAAACGCCTTGCAGCTTCTTCCACGGGGAGTTCAGTTGAACTTGACTTCTTCAAAACGATTAAGAGGAAAAAGCATGAAAACGAGTGATTAAGAAGGACAAATTGTGAGCAATTTACCTTATAGGTGGCTGGATGGCTTTGATTTACCAGAGCTAGGCTGCTCATCCAGTTCAGAATGAAAACATGCATGTGCACAAAAACCAGGAGTGCCCATAATTGTGTGATAGTTATTTTTGTGTTTTATATGTGTGGCGATGGTTTTGAGGTCCAGCTTCGTTTTCTTCGGTCATTCACCTCCTTTGCTTTGCTTCTCCAGCTCTCGAGGCGGAGGCGCAGTGGTCGTCCATGCGTTGCTCCTCCGCGCGGCTGGTGCTGCTGGACGGCCTTCCCTCGCTGCCGGACGAGGCGGGGAAGGCGCCGATGACGCCGGAGACCTTCCAGACACTTGGCGCGAGGCAAAGACCGGCGATGCACGCCCCTTCTGGGGCAGGGTGAGAGTAGGTGAGAGTATTATAAGTATTATCCTCTCGGACTGTCCCTGTTCCACAGTCATGCACGGTCCATTCTTCAGTGCTTCATGCATTTTCATGCCACCTTCCGGGCGCAAGAAACATCGCGGTCATGTGCAGCGGGACACGGTGCAAACACGCAGCGGGTGATCGAACGGCCCAGGACACGGATCGCCCAAGGCTCATTGAAGTTCACTCACCGCAATGACCAGGACCCCGTGACCGCATCGCACGCCATGCGGTCACGGCTGGTGAGGTCCCATTCAGGGAGAGATTTGGAGGGATCGAAAGAGGACTGATATACCTGACATTAGGTGCTTGCTAGGTGAGTCTTGATTGAATTTGTAGAGCAACTAGTGTCTAGTATAGTATCTCCCGCAACTGAAATAAGTATCAAGATATTATTACTATACTGCCTCCCTGTACCAGTTAAGAAAAGATGGTGCAGCATGGTAAAGTCAAGCTTCACTTTCGGGGGGGGGGGGAGCTCATCTCAAAACCCAGTTCTTTTTGGTTGCAACAAGCTGGCTAAGACAGCAGGATCTTCAGAGGACATGCCGGCTTCAGCGATGCCAGGAGGCGGTCACCCGCTTACAGGAGAAGGTCTTCCTGATGAAAGCTTGGGAGGCCATGGTGGAGAGTCGCGCGAGAGAGAGACGAGGGGAGTGGATCAAGTGGGCTATCACTTGGGTACATCTAAAAGAGAGCTGACAGCGCACCATGCGCTGGAAGTAGATCGTCCGAAATACACATGACTGAGTTACTGAATTCTGTTGGCAAGCATCAGCAGTTTACATCATGTAACAACTCTGGAGCCTTGCGCAGTATCCATGAAGCACGCCTACGACCCAATAGCAGCACCCCAAACGAAAAAGAAAACAGTTCTTCTCCGCCTTCTCCCTAACTATCCTCCCATCAGGCCAAGGCTCACACATGCGTCATCATGTGCGTCGACGAGCCTTTTGAGGCTCACGAGTTGGTCTTGAGCCGCTTGCCGCGCTCGGAGATGCCAGTGCTGTGCGACTCGCTACCCTACTACGCACGGCTGCAGAAGCTCGTGCCCTGGTGGAGAGGTGGAGGGCGGCTGGAAAGCACATGGCCCGTGAAAAGGAACTCACTCGCGTTGGATGGTTTAGTTGGTTTAGTTTAGTGGTGGAGAGATGTTTTTGTGGTGGTGTTGTTTTTTACTGCCAGGGTTTTGGGTGTTTATGATGCCTGTGTTTGACGGGTAAGCTTGGCGGTGTGGCACCGTACATGGTTTCCAACCCAATGGCAGTGTTGTTTCCCACTCTCCAAGAACCATGTAAGTGGAACATAGCCTCAGAAGATGAATGATGTTCCAATTTTCCTTTACACGCCGGATAGTTGTTCATAGCTGTTCGTGCCTGTTGTCGGCATGGTCGATTCTGGGCAGGTCGAAACCTTGTTTACTCGCAGGGATTAAGTCCAGTGGCTTCCGCTCCAGGCGGTGAACTCCAGCCGCCTCTCTGACGAGTTCTTTGCACCTCGGTGCTCGTTTGTTTCAGATTCATGCTGTCTCGTGCGCACGTTCTTTGGGCTCGGAACGCGTCCAAACCGTGGGGCGTGGTTGTGGGCTTGGTGGTCACTGCTCTATTGACTATTGGTTGTGAGTTTGTTCTTCTTGGTGCGTTGGTGTTTGTTAAGCTGTTGCCCATGTTCAATCAGAATCCACGATAGATAGTGTGCTCAGTGCTCGTCCCCAACCCAAGCTGAGCAAAGCGAATCATGTTGCAGATTCCCTGCAGCAAGTGGCACCCAGCGGATGGAGGCCAGCCCCCAGGGCGCCCAACGGATGTTGAAACCTCGAAGTAAGTTTGTTTGGATTACCTTTGGCGATTTTTTCGGAGATCCAGGTGCCGAAATTCCCACCATGCTTCCGGGGCCAGCGGTTGAGAACAGGTGGCGCTGCAAAACCCGGCGCTGGTCATCGAAGAGTTGGACCTGCAGGCCAACGATGCTTTGAGTCTTCATGGCGACTTGGCGCGTTCGGAGTGGAACGCTGTGAGGAGTTCCTTCACAACTGGCGCATTTGATGATGTCAATTGTTCAATTCGATTCATGTTGTTGCGTTTTCTTGAGGATTTGTTTGAATTTGGGCAATGTGAAGCTTGCTGTGGCAGAGAGTGTTGGGAGGAACTTTGGAAGTCCTTCACGTACACCAGAAACTGCCAAAGTAGTGTTCGAACGCGGCAACTATAGGCACCATGCTCACCAAATCATGACCCCCCCTGGATGGCAGCAGAACAGCTGGCAAGGGCATTCCAAATCGTTTTTACAAATGACCCAGATGGTTCTACATGTACGAAGCCAGAGTTCTTGTTGTTTTGGAGATCGTTGATCGCACGAAGGTTTAGACAGCTTCTTGGGCGAGACGCTGAGCCTACGAGACCTGAATCTCAGCAGGAGACCTGGCGATATGCGGTGCTGGACAACTGGTGGGGTGAGACGACTGGTCGACTGGGGACGTGGGTAAACCCCCATGAGCTGTTTGAGTCGGAAACTGCTTTGGGCTTTGGATTTGCATGATTCCCAACGATGTTGTAGGGCTCTGAGTGTCGAAGGTAAGACCCATCAGGAGGTCGGGACGGAGCATCTCCACTGCATGCGAGGAACTGCTTCGGCGACGCAGACGCTGAGCAACTCGCTTTGGGTTTGGCACGCTGCCAGTCGCCCTTGCGGTGGCTGGCGCCCTGTCAGCAGTGGAGCGGTGGTTGGCGGTGGGTACTTTCTCAGCTGGGGGGGCCGTTTTTAGTGGCAGCACCATGCCCTTAATTATCCATGCAGGTGGCAGATGGACAGTTTCATCAACGGCTTTGGGAATCAGAGCTCTCAATTCTTGGGTGAGATTTCCTGAGAGACTTGGATGTACCGTGATGTGCCACGTTACACAAAACTGATGTTTTTGGGTGAATGTTCGGATGAGAAGGAAGACACGTTGTTGTGCAATTGATCTGAAGGTTTGCTGAACCAAGGTTTCTTTGTACGGTGTTTGGCACTCCCAAGATTGAGGTGTTGAGTGACTGCATGTTTAGATGGTGAAAGGATCATGACTCTTGAGCACGTCCTAGCAGCAGAAAAGGGTGCCCATTCCGACGAAACAATTAGGTTGGTTGAGCCAGTGTTGTCATAGACCAATGTCATACCAATGTCATATTGGAACTTGAATTGCTCGCCCTGTGATCCAGTCATCGCCCCAGCACCACCTCGAGGACCTGAGCTTCAATGAACTCGGCTGTCGCGGCTGCACGGCACTGGGCGAGGCGCTGCTGCTGCGGCGCCGTGGAAGCAGAGTTTCGGGCCTCGATGAGCGTTTCGGGCGTAGCTTCCAAGAGCTGCGCTTGCGCGGGAACCGCATCGCGAACCCAGGACGGTGAGGGGGGCAGCCGGTAGCTGAAGTGGAGAGGAGTACCAGGATGACTTGGAAACGGTGGGGAAGAACTCATGAGCCTATGGCCTATGGGCCTGGGATGGCCTGGGAGGTGTTCCAAGCAGGAACGAGGAGTTGAAGCTGCAGTAACCGGCAATTGTCAGCACTAAGTAGCTTCGCAGGACTTGAGTTCCCATGTAAATTTAATGTATACAGAACTATACTAGGCACTTGCTCACATAATTAGACCCATTTTGGAGGGCACATGCGTGGACCAATTATATATTTGTTTGAGACTTTCTGACCACCTTGTGGAATAGACCTCCCTGCTTTCCTGTCAGCCTCCCTCCCCATTTCAGATTTACACCCTGCTTCCAGCTGGTTTCTGTCTGCCGCACCATTTTTCAACAGACTGGCACGCGGCTTCGGCTGCAGGAGCTTTGGCCTTAGCGGACTGTTTGAAACGGAGCGGAGCCCAGCTGCAGGTAGACCTGGAGTGGAATTTGATAACCAGCGCCTTGGACATGTCTTTTTCCTTTGGGACACTCCAAGTTCTCCTTCTTATTTGGGGCTTCCACCGATGGAACTCCCCCGCCCCCCTTGATGGGCCTCGTCAGGCCAGCGCCGGACCGGGGAGGAGTCACAGGTTGCACGCAGGAGTCAGATGCATCATGATGTTGGGAGCAGGAGACAAGGAATGAAAAGGGTCTTCCGGGGTCAAGCGAAAAACCGTGAAAAACCGATGAATGACGATCAACGAGGATGTTCATGGCGCCATGGGGCGTGCGGGGTCGTGTAGGTTGGTGCCAGACCTTTTCTCTAAATGATTGGTGATTGCCAGTCGGCAAATGTTTGGTAAGGTGTCAACCATTGGTATCCATTGGTGAATCCTAGTGTTTGTAGTCGAGCCAGGCATGTTCAGCGACCTCTTCCTCCGCCTTTCCACTTCAGGTGACGTGGCTTCCGCCTGGGTGGATTTGCTCGTGCATCCCGACGGCCAGCCCCGCGCAGTGGGCGCGCCCTGCGCCGCGGTGGCGCAGGCTGTGGCCGTGGTGGCGGCGGAATGACGGGCGGCGGAGAGGACAAAGATGGAGAAGCGGTCGAAGTGCCTGGACGTGCAACCTAAAGCCTGAAGAGTCAAGAATGCATGATAATGCAAGATTCGAACAGTGGAAAGAACACTGTCAGAGCTTGTTGATTATAACATACATACATATATGTAGTGTGAAGTTTGCTGATTCTGTATGCAACAATTAGCAGCGATGCCAGGAGCCCCTAGTAGCGTCCTTGCTCCTAGTAGCGATGACAGGAGCCCCTAGTAGCGTCCCTTTGCTCCTAACCTTCCTTCCCTTACCCTTTACTTGCACCATAAACATTCATTAATCATTAACATCTAACATGCTATGATTCTAAGGAAGAACAGGGGCAACATGCCTTGATAGTGCCTTTGATTTAAGGTAGTATTTAAGGATATTCAAGGTATAATAATATAATCGACATTAATCAATGTACCTTTCTAAATGACCCTTTTATCCGTCCTTATCCGCCAACTGCTGCCTCTCATTTGGAACCTCCGGTACTCAGAGGGTCTCATCATAAGCGGTTCAACTTGCAAGTAAATACGCGTGTTGCGTTCCCGAAGACAGATCGTTCAGGCCTCTCTTCCAGTACTGCTCCTACATATCCAAATGATTGGATTACAAACTGCTTATCCGAGGTTTCTGGCCAAATCCTTGGCTTTATTGCCGCTCTTGCCCCAAGCGCCATTTTTGGCCGCCGAGCTGTCCAGCGCCGGCGGCGCGCCACCCGACCTCTTCGTCTATGCGACAGCGCCTGCGGCACTTGCTGCAGCTTTGCTGCTAGAGGTATTCTTCGTCCTTTGCACCGGAGGGTGTCGCAGCTGCAGGCAGCTCTGGAGGGTTTTCAGGACGAGGTGTGTGAAACAGAGCTGACCACAAACTTGTTGGGCAATTGTTGCTACACCAAGCGCTCATCAACGAGTCGGCTACACTTCACGTCCGTGTTTGGGACAATCTCAATTTTGACACACACACACACACACACCCAGTGAACCCTGGATAGGGCAACATCAATTACCGTTGGTTAGATATGCTCCAGGTGTTTTGCAAATACAATATTTTATCAAACCTGTTGTTTTTCCAGTCGTTTCTTTCCACTCGCCGCCCGTCCCTCCATTGCTGTAGTTCTTTTGATCATGTTTTGATGCTCCTTAGCGGGAAAAAACTCGTCAATCACTCCAGCAGGTGTGCCACTTTGGATTTCTTGACCTTCTTGCTGAGCTCCACAGTGAACGCTTTGGTCTTCCTCCTGTCCTTCGGAAGCCTCGGCTTTGCCACCCTGCACAATGCCACGGAGATCCTGCCCGGCTGCCAAGCGAGCCTGACCTGTCAGGCGCTGTGCCCGGCGCTTTGCGGTGCTGAAGAAGTTATTAGGAGGAAACCAGTTTTAACATGTTTTAACATCATCCAATTCATTGTTACCTCAGAGGAAATATGAGGCGTATGAGGACATGTTGACATGTTTATAGATGTCCTTGAGCAGTAGGGCATCCGCGTGTTGCAGGACACATAGCAATTCCGAATTGAATTTACATAGTCACCAGGAGCTGCACGAAAGATGTCGAGTAAGGAGTCCATTTGTGGTTTAACAGTGACAGCATGTTACAGTCCACTTGAAAGGTGCCACCGTAAGTTTTGTTCTTTTGGGGCTTTAGCTAGTCGTTCGAATTAGCGCTTCTCCACGGTGTTGTCACATTGGGTGTATGTCAGCTACCAAACCCCGGAGAGTGAGTATGCAACGCTGTCAGGTTGCCCATCTTCCGCCCCTGGTATATCAAAACTTACTGTAAATGTTACGTCAGTTTTAGGAACCTCATCCAGATGAAGTGTGAAGGGAGGTCCCACTCTCCGATTGCATGCCCACCGTCTCGCTCAGTCGCTGAGCATTTTTGGACATGTTCTTTCTGCTGTGGTGCTCCTGGCGTGCCTTGCCTTGCTAGATTGGATGTCTTAGACGATCGCATTTGCTCGGCTCGGGGGAGTGTGGTTAACGCTTTCCACTCACCTCCAAAGTTGGAAGCTCAGACTCGCCAGTTGTGGTGACCGGAGTGTGGTTGAGGGGTGCTCAAAGTCGTTTGCTTGGACTTCTATTTTGCAGAGACGTTTAGCCTTCTCTGAGAGGGGGCCTTAATCCTCAAGTAGAACAAGAACAGGGCGACTCTCCCAAAACAACTGTGGAACATGCAAGCTCACAATATCGCCCCTTTTCGGCTGTGGGTCATGTCATTGTGTCAGCACCTGTAGGATCCTGTAGGACAAGGGAAGAAGTTTTTGGGAGACATTCACTTGCTGTAGCCAATAATAATAATTGCAATTGCGGTCTTGAGTAGCAAGGTATATATGAGCACGCAATCATCGCCTGAGGCCGACGAAGCTAGGTATCACTGTCTAATACTTTCTAGATCTTCTATATAATATTATATAATGATCTTTCTATACCCTATACCCTTTGACTGGAGTTTGGGTGTTTCCAAGAGGCCGCTGTACACGAACGCAGCTGTACGGAAGGTGCACGATTCACCCAGGGATGTTCGATTCGTTCGGGCACCCAGGTGGATTTGCACACTGCGCTGCCTTTGTGTCCTTTGGGCCTCGAGTCTTGGGCCATGCTTTCACAGCAAGGTGTTTGGGATGAAGAGTGATGAGTTGATCTATGTTGTGCTTGGTTTTCCGCTCTCCGTGAAGAGTGATGATGTTGACGGAAAAACCATGAAAAAGCCATGGAAAACCATGGAACACCTGGCACCTCCCGTTTGGTGTGCTGCGTGTGCAGCGGTGCAGGAGGATGCATGAACAGTACGAGCACTAAGAAAGTGTTTTGTGTTCACCAGCATTCAGGAGCTATGTTGTTCAGTGCTTTTCACCTTCGATTGAGCACCAGGGGTGCTGTATGCTTCTTCTAATCTTGAAGACGACTGTTGTTACCAACGATCTATAACCATCTAAAGCTCATTCGGGCCGGGGAATTCCCCTCCGAACCCGGTCACCTGGCTCACCACAGTGGGTCTCACGCGCCAGGACCCTGCGCTTATGGCGACCCTGTAGTGATCCTGCCGCGTGGTGCGACGTGTGGCACGAGCTATTAGGTTGGAGGCCATTACTAGGAGCAAGAAGCTATTAGTAACAAGGTCATTTCCCAATCTCCGAGTTTGTGCGTTATTTTGAACTAGGCTGAAAAATAATGTGCAGGGTTTGTAGAATTGGAGCCCAAAACCGATATCCGCTATCACGATCTCTCGGGGACATAACATGACATAACAAAGAACAGTCCTGCAGATTTCGCCGTGTCCCGCGGTCATGCCATGGTTGTTCACTTGGAGTAAAGCAGAAGAGCTGTTCAGCAAGACGTCAGACCTTCAAGAGGATTGGGTCGTTTTTGCTTCACATAGCTCCCTGCAAGCCGGGCTGCATGGGTTATAACACCTGTTTGTTAGGTAGTGCCATTGACAAAATGATCATGAAAACTGACAAGCAACTACTGTCATCAATGTGTGGTCGATGTGCATATGACAGAGACACACTGGTAGTAAATCCACAGTGATACACTGGTCGGTAGTAAATTGGTCTTGATTTGCCACCACACGCAGCCACGAGACCAGCGTAGCTACCACAAAGAGAGGAATCATGCGCAGAGTTTGCTTGGGTGGTAGCTGCAGACCTTTTGCTACGCCTCATACGCTAAAGACGTGGGTGTGGCGACGTCGGCCCGCTGGCCCCAGGCTGCGCAGACGAATCGAATCGAATGGATGAGTAGAAGATCCAAGGATCCACATCCGCCTTGCAGTGGTTTAAGAGTAGATTAGTAGATGACACAAACCTCAAGTTTTTGCTGTTTAATAGAATGATTGCGGTCCATATAAACCACCGACATTGGACATTGGTGGCATCTACTCTCAATCCACTATACCACACTCCACGCCGTGCCAAAACTTCAATATCCCAAATGACGAGTGGCCTATCACTGCGAGCAGTTACGTCCCGGGTCCATTCATGTAGACCAGTGTCGTGAGAGAAGGCTGTAGACGAGTGGCCTCAACAGCTCATTTTCACAACAAAATCCCTCATGAGAACGCTTCCGTTTTGATTTGCACCACTTCATTGTGATGGGGTCCAGCGAAGGTTCACATGTGTGGGAGTGATTCTGACTGATAGAAACTGCTACTGTCAGAGGGGAGGTGTCCGATCATCAACACTTTTTTGTAGATGCAGTTGATGCCTGATGAGTTCCCAAACACCTGTTGCATATTGTTACATTTTGTTGCTATGCCCTCAATCAAATCAAGGAAACTAACGACCCAGTTGAGGGGGTTCGAACCTTGTTGATGTCACCACAACTCAATATGTGAGCGATTGTAGTGTCATCAGCGGATGGCAGTGCGGCAGTAGGGCCAGATCAACCGCCGCCGACTTGTGCTCTAAATCTTTAAAGTGCATGTGCATGTATGGGTTGCATTGGACAACACTACATGACATAGGTTACATCAGTCCTGGCATTCCAATGGCGGCTTGCGTCACTTGCATCCCCTCTGTTTTCATGCAACCCATGGCAGGCATTTTGCCGCCCAAAAACGCGGCCGACCCCTGTCCCCAATTCGTTTGGGTTTCTTGCGCCGAGCCGGACGGAATTGCCCGATGCCCGGGCTGAGACTGACCGGGTGGCCGGGTGTAGACTGAGTGCGGAGGAAATGGCACAAAGGGCTGGGGTTGAGAAGGTTCACCGTGTGCAGCCACCGGGGGTCGCTACAATGTAGACAAGTATGGCCCATGCATCGGATCTGTTTGTGGGCTTGCAGGAAGGTGTTTTTGGTGTATTTGCCTGAAGCTCCCAACACAGCTGGTTACAGAACTTGCCGATCGGAGGTTGCTTGCTACATTGCCTCACCGCTCAGCGGCTCCAAAGTTCCCAGTTCTCAGACAGATTGAAACTCCAAGCGCACATGGTGACTCTAAACTTCAACATCGACTGTACACTGATCCCGATGGCCTCCCCCCCCTTTTTGAAATGGCCTCCAACCTAGAAACGAGCGATGGTCTCCAACCTATCCACAAACAGGCTTGTGGTGATAAGAACAGAAACTAGGAGAAGAACCGGAGCCCCAGCCTCCAATTCAGCTCTTGATCTCTAAACAACCAAGACTCCGACAGCTGATTTGCTTCATTTGCTCGCCCAGACGCGACCAGACATGCCCTGCTTTGAAACCTCCTTGGTCACCTTTCCTCTTGAGATATTGGATTATGGATTTGCCCGCCTGGATTTCTTGAATTCTTGTGCCGACAGGTCCAGGTCATGCCTTTTGGGCTTGGCCTTAATGGCCACCACTTTGGCCCTGGCCGGTGGGGGCACAGAGGACATCAAGTCGTTCAAGTTGGATCTGGGTGATTGACAGTGGTGAGTGAGAGGGATCTCCTGTGGGTTCCAGACAACTTGATGCTTACCTTTCCCCAAAAGACCTTCTGTAGAAGGAACATGATCCACTTCCTCAAAAGCCATGCGAGTATGATATATAGATTATAGATGATTATAGACTATAGACTACTGTAGCTGTAGCTTCATGGGTCCATGATTCCAATGCTGGTTGCTTCATGTTGGCTCCCAAAGGGCCGGAACACGCTGTTCCCAGCGTTTTCCGTGGTGCGCTCAGCCCGAAAGGCCGCTGCACTGGGTCGGTCCTTGCTGAGGCGTCACCTTCCTGAGCCCGTGGTCCGGCACCTGGAGATGAGATCCACCATTATCATCCATTTTCATATAAAGCCACAAGATGTATAATTTAATACATATAATTAGTATATACCATTCCTCAAAGACACATGCCGCTTGCAGGTTTGGGCCTGGGGACTTGAGTCTATTCCGTTCGTTTGATTGTATTTGTGTATCATGAATTGATGACCATTTGTGGTTGTGCATCATTGTCCTTTCCTTGTGGGCTCCAACTACCTCAGAAGGTAGATAGACCGACGACCCTCCAAACCCTGATGTCCGGGACCAGGACAGCTTGACTGGAACATCAGATGCTGTATCAATAGATGATGGGCAATGCCAAAGGACATCAAAGGGTCGGACCACCGGATCTTTCGCATTCCTTGAGTAGTAAGCTCAGGTGGCACAGATGCAAGAAGCTCACCCACACAGCTTCGTCAGCAAAAACAGAGAAAACAACAGGCAACACAGCTGAGCCATGTCGGGGCGATGGATTTGTGTAGGCTGGGGGGGAGCTGCACAAGAGATGGATGAAGAGACAGCAGTGGTGATGCGATGTATATGTGCTAGAGTGCTACAGGTTTGTACCCAAACACGGCTACCCTGACCTTTTCATGAAACACCGTTGTTATCTACACGCATACCATTCAATGTGAGAAGTTCTTGTGGTTTAGTATGGTCTCAGTCAGACTTGGGACATCAACCATGCATAGAGTATGAGAAACCACTAGTTTCGTGATTGAAATCATGGCCATGTCAGAGGAGCTTTCACTTTGGGACCCTGCGGTGGTCCTTTCGCCCCACCGCGAGAGGGAGGGCGTACGCGCGAACGCGATGTTTTTGTTTCAGGGCTCGGCAGGGGTCGGTCAGAGGTGAGCTGGGCCATGGAGTGAAAGGAGACAGAGCAGATTTGGATGGCCAAAAGCAAGCCCCGCCAACAAGCAATCAGAAGGGTGCAGAGATGTGTGACCCATAGCGCCATAGAAGAACATCAAGTAGTACATTTTTGTTGACAAAGGCAGATTCAACAAGCTCACAGAATATGAACAGAGGTTTTGCGATCCATAGTGCCATATAAGTTTTTTTGGGGTCAGGTGGATCTGCTGGGTTTGCACTGAGGTTTGTGATCAACTCCTGCTTCACACATCTTCACAATTCTTCACATCATTTGGGCCAACAATATTTTTAGATACTTTTATACATGGAGTCAGCAGGTAAGGGAAAACATCCCCAGGCTATTTTCCTTTGGCCCGGTCATGCGCGGGCCATGGCGGATGAATATGCGGACTGGCTGGCAGCTCTACAAGCCACTTGCACCCATGATGCTTGGAGTAGACCAGAAGCCCTCGACCATTGCTGAAAGCATGTGGCGGGCGGGATGAGCCCGAATCAACATCCGCTACTGCCGGAACAAGTGGAGAGACATAGGACATCGAAGCATTCGAAGCCTGTGGTCCTCAATTCAAATTCTGCACCCGCAACTTAGGTTTGCCATATCGGATATATATATATATATATATCCCTGCGGACCCTGGAGACTGGTTTAACGAGTACATGTCGACATGGACTACTTAAACTGCCTAACTCTGCTCACCCGCTCTCCGAGCACTTTTTCTAAGCAGTGCTCTGATCACCGCTTCCATGCCACCGCCATGTCGATCCTGCAGCGTATATGACTCCAAATGATCAGTAAATGCATGCGTTATCTTGAAAAAAACGTTCAACATTGATGCATGGAGCTTGTCTCAAAAATCTTCCAACATCGTGATATGTTGAATCTTATAGATATTTCTTACCATCTTAGGCCACAACAAGGAACCTGCCGGCATGTGAGAGGACACCACTCAACCTGCTTTCTATGCAGCCAGAAAAATGCAGATTTGATGACTCAGCTCAAGCAACCACAGACGCGAACCCATGTGGGAAGGATAAGCACTTGCTCTATCCAGAAATGACTTGGGTTCGTACCGAACTCTTTAGCGCAAGGAAACACACAATTCACAATGTGAGAGGAAGACACACTTTTCGGACCCACTTCGTGGCAAACTCATTTTCCTGCACCTTACCAGATCTTAAGGCCTTCCATGAACCGCCTTTAAAAACGGCCTCCTTCCCAAGGAGTTTGCTCCCTGCTGGCTGCGCAAGCGGCCTCGCAAGCTCCACGCGGGCGAGCTGCCAGCAGAGGTCGAGCTGGGTGTCAATGGCTCCGGACTGGCGGGCGTTTATCGCAGCCTGGATGGCCAAATGGGGCGAGGGAGGACGGCCGTTGTCGCCAGCGATGGCCTGGAAATTCACTCATGGCCCCGTCCAGCTTGGGCCATTGGTGTTTTTGGTGCTGCGTCCAGTACCTGGACTTTGTTGTGGATAGGACTCTCCCAAACATCAAGAATCCTTGGAATGTTTTAAACGAGGGCCAGAATCTTGAGCCCCCTGCCCGGGAAGCCTAACAGCAAAAAGCACCCCAAAAGCGGTTCTCATTTGTTCTTCGCAGCTCCCAAGATCAGTGTGGTTTGCAGCTCCTTGGAACCTCTGTAGTGTCTCTACGGAAGGGGATGCCGAGCGGAATGGCTTCCGAGCGATGCCGCATAGGCTATGTGGATGGCAGTGAAGTGCCCAGCTACTGCTGTCGAGAGGCGAGTTCGTCCGTCGAGTGACTCATCCAACACCACGGAGTTTGGGTGGCGATTGGAAGGACATGTTGAGAATACATAATTAGGTATTGGCCAGGGGTATTGATCAACAGCCCCCTTGCCGTGGTGCTGGACTGTGTTCAATCTTGTTCCCTTATTGCAGTATGTACAGGAAGTGTTTGCCGGTCGAAGAATCCCTGATTATCCGATAATCATCCTTGATGATGCGGTTCCAAAGACCTCGATCGGACAGTGTTGTTGGATAGTGGTGTGGTTTCTCGGGGTCCAATCCTCAAATCAACCTTGAGCTACAGGGATGTGTTGGGCCGCTTGTGGCCCTTAGAAGTGAAGCACTCAAAATTCGCAACTTTGAGAGTTCCAGCGAAGCATCAGACATCACAGGTATTTGGCTATAGTTATAGCATGTTATAGCATGTTATAGCTTTTGCTGCCGTGATTGAATTTTGCCAGGTGCCAGAGGCAAGGTTAGAGCTTTCCAGCTCACTGGGCTTGTGGCCAGGCTTTCAAAGCAGGTTGGCCAGGAGACTAGCACAAACATCTACAAACTGAGGCCCATTGATGGGAGGCGTGGTTCTATGCAACTCTTGTTTCCCCAGAATCCACTCCTTTTTAGAAACATTGGACGTGTGTTCGGGCGAAGGCGTAAGCAGCTGCTGCTCGAACAGTCCACGAACAGTTCATGAAGACATGCACAAAGAGTTCCAAGGGAAGGGGTTTTGGAGGATGCATTCCGAAGCTGGATCCAAACACCATCCGGAAGAAATCCGGGCTCTTTTTCCCCAAAGTTGAACATCATCTCCCATTTGAGCGAGGAATCCCTTTTGTGGGGGAAGTGTTCTCATGTCGACATCCGATGCGCACGGGCAAATGTGTGCGCTATCCAGGGGAGCGTTTTTGGGCGCACGGAAGCTCCTGGATCCCGGGGAGCTCAAGGATCCTGGAACTTCACCGGTGGGTTCCGGTACCGGACGAGCCATCGATGAGCCAAGGTGGGTTCTGACCTCCACGGAAGGTTCGGAGAAGCACCTGGGTTGCGCTGCGGTTGGATGTGGGGACAAGAAGCACCTGAGATGTCCTGCACTGAGTTGCCCACAGATCCCAAGAATTCCTTGATGAACTTTATGATGTTATCAAGTTTTTTTTTTTGCAGAACGGGTGCTCCTGGGAGATGTTTTTCATGCAAAAAATGATACAAAAACACTGTGTTTTACAGTGATTTCTTGCAAAATCCTCTCCAAAATTGAGGTTTTGAGCTATTTTTTGAACAATTTTGTGAGATCCAAGCCTATCCCAATTTAGAGGGAATACCAAAAAAACAAAAAAAACATAAACCAAAAAAACAAAAAAAAACAATGTTTGACACAAAATGCAGCCAACATCCAAAAACCAATAGTGACCCCATTTTGTCTCAAACTTTGCTTTTTTTTGTTTTTTTTGTTTTTTGGTTTATTGTTTTTTTGGTATTCCCTCTAGATTGGGACAGGCTTGGATCTCACAAAATTGTTCAAAAAATAGCTCAAAACCTCAATTTTGGAGAGGATTTTGCAAGAAATCACTGTAAAACACTGTGTTTTTGCCTCATGTAAGTTTAACGGTGGAATTTGATGTTAAATTGGATTTCAATTGATTTTGGTATTAGACTTCAATTTAAACGCTTTCAGAATTATTGGTGGAAGTTGATGTATCATTAGCTTTCTATTAAAAACGTGTTTAAGATTAATTGTAGATTTTTTACAAACTAAGTTTCATTTATATCATTGTCAAAATCATTGGGGAAATTGATGTTTATATTAGATTTCAATTAACATTTCTTCAAGATTAATTATAGAAAAATGAATGTGTAATGCAACTTCGATTCAATGCCTTTTCAAGATCATTGTGGCAATTGATTTTGAATTAGATTTCAATTAAAATCCTATTATATTTCATTGTAGAAATTAGGCATTACTTAAATGTCAATTAATGTCCTTCTCAAAATCATTGTCGAAATTGCTTGTTGTTTAGATTTTATTTTAAGTTCTTTTCAACATAATTTGATTGAATTGCTTGTGTATTGGATATCAATCAAGACCCTTTTAGAATTGATTGTGAAAGTTAACTTTCAGTTAACAGTTAATGGTGGAAATCAATTCTTATAATTAGATGTTAGTTAAAGTCCTTTTATTTGATGTAGCCTTGTAGTGGGGAGCAAACAGATACAAAATCAATTCAAGTTAGTTGAGCATCACAATTTCCACAATTGATCTTAAATCGACTTTAAACACAATCTGATACTAAATCAAAGCCACCACTAACTTTGAAAAGGACTTTGACTAAAATCTAATTGTAAGAACTAGTTTTCACATTGAGTTT